TTTTAAACTTTCAATCATCATTTAAAGATACGTGAGTTAAATTTAAGTTGTATAGACTTAGCTTATATTTTAAGTATAGTTAAACTAGACCTTTATGACTTTAAATGTTTACCATCATTTTAAGATACATAGCAATTTAGAAATATGAGACTTAGCACAGTTTAATTTAAGTTGTATACAGAATTAGGTAAGTATACAGGTATAGAGACAAGCAGGACTGGATAAGAGTAAAAAGGGGAACCAGAATGTAATCTCTGATCCATACATTGTAGCAAACAGACAGATCAAGAGAAGAGGAGGGAGGAGGAACTTGAATTGGAATGTAAAAATTAAATTAATAAATTTAAAAGAATATTTTTAAAAGATAGATAGATAGATAGATAGATAGATAGATAGATAGATCAGATAAATACAGTCATCTTGGAATCAACATACACAGGAAAAAGTTCTGGGTACCTATCTGGCTATCTGGTACCTCTCTGAGTGGAAGGGGAAGCCGAGTCCTGGATTGCTACAAAAACCCTGTGCCCCCTCCTCTCTGTCATATTACATAAACTTGAGTGTGCTGGCCCATGTTTGCAATCCCAGCGCTCAGGAGCTGGAAATAGAAGGATCAGAAGATTATCAACAAAAATAAAGCAAGTAGGAGCCATGCTGGGTGAAAATAGCCCCTCACAAGGAATGAAGGAAGGGAGGGGGGTAGCGGGTGGGTGGCCGGTGGTGGCAGATGGTAACACAACAGCAAACACAAAACCGTAAGCAAGCAGTAAAATGTCTTTAGAAGGAGACTTAAATGGCACAAAACTGCCATGGTCACCTCCCTCTGTCTCACCTGAAGGACTTAAAAAAATTAACAAAGAAATAAAATAAGGAGGCTTAGAAAAACCTCCCACACTAAAAGTAGGGTGGCCTGACTTAGAAATTTGATCAAGGCCACAATTACTCGAGTCCCTGGAATTTCCTAGCCGGCCGCATAACTCCCTTACAAGGCCGCAAGATAGCCTAACTAAATATCAAGAATTTCTAAAGGGCCACCCTCCCACGGGGTCATGAAGATAAGAACAGACTATCCCACCAGTTAATGTAGCAACAATTGACAAAAGAGAGTCCCTGAGAAACCAAAGAGATAGCTACAATTACTGTTTGCTCAGGCAAGAACGATTAGCACATTCTGTGGGCTGTTGACCCAACTGGTGAGTAAGGAGACCATCTGGCCCCAAAGATAAGAGACCTCCAAAGGAACTGTGACTCTGGTCACGTACCCGAATCCCCCCCCCTCCCTAAAAGTTTGTGGTTTCTTCCTATAAAAGAGGCCTGCTTTTGAGGAACGGGTCTTCCTTTGCTGGACTGGGAGGCCCGTTTGCGCAAACGTCCCGCAATAAACTTACCTCTTATTTTTACATCAGCTGGACTGGATATTGAGTTTTTTGGGGGGACCCTCCGATTTGTGGAGGCTCCTCTATCCGAGGGTCTTTCAACCTACCCTCACATCCCCTAATTGTGCCAGCCCCTGGACCCACATAGTCACCTGCATGTCAGTGACGCTCTTTGACCTGACTATTAAGAGAGTGATGCCCTGTTTTTATAGCTTCCTGTCATACTTCTGCTTTCGTTGGCTAAGGGGTTCGGCTGGAGTCCAGCCCACGTTCACTATGTTCCTGCATCATAACAGCCAGCGTTTGTGCAGTGGACGAGGGGGTGAGTATCCTGCCCTGTTGTGCATTTGTGTCCCCCCACCCTGCCCCGGGCATGAGCATGGAAGGACCCTTTGGAGCAGAGCGCCAGAGTGCAGCAGACGCCTGAGAGATCTTGTTGGTTCCTTGGACGATCGGATCGAGACATTTCTCCGGCACCCATTTTTTGTCTGTCTGTCTGTCTGTCTGTCTGTCTGTCTGTCTGTCTATCTATTTATTCATTCATTCATTCCTTTTGTTCGTCTATTTATTTGTCTGTCCATTCATTCATTTTGTTTGTTCGTTCGTCCATTTATTTATTTATTTGTCCATTTATTTATTTTTTTGTTCGTCTATTTATTTGTTTGGCTATCTTTCCACTTTTTTGGGCGTGGGGGTCATCTTTGGTTGGTCTGAGCCTCGCACCAATCTATTTATTTATTTATTTTGTTTGCTTGTTCATTTGTCCTACTGTCTGTTTGTTTGTCTGTCCATTTATTTATTTTGTTCATCTATTTTTCTGTCTTATTTGTCTATCTGCCTATTTATTTGTATACCTGTCTATTTATTTAATGTATACCAATGTGCATGCACACCTTTATTCCAGAAGAGGGCATCAGATCCAAGGGAATTGGACCTCTTAATGGCCAATTCACCCAATCAGGAATTCAACCATCCTGCCTGTGTCTTTCTTTTTTTTGGGGGGGGGGGTGTAAATAAGGCTGGAAAGGACTGAATATTAAACCATTATATGCCTAAAACTGTTCAGATAAAGCAATTCTTTTATTTTCTTTTCTCGTGTCTGATCAGAGATCCTCTTGCCTCTGAGACTATACAGCAGCCCATATGGACTGACTTCGACATGCAAAAGAAGAAAGTTCATCACCCCAACATAGGAAGGAAGACATCTTTCTACTGTACCAGAGACCTCCTGATTCACTCAGGATATACAGGTCCTAAGAGGCTGTGGGTGTGACTTGAGGCCAGGGGTTGAGAAGTCTTAAGAATAGTCACCAGTCATCATATGCTTTTGTCTTCATTTTGTTGTTGTTGTTGTTCTGGTTGTTTTGTTTTGTTTTGTTTTTGAGATATGGTTTCTCTGTGTAACCTTGGCTATCCTGGAACTCTCTCTGTAGACTAGGCTGGCCTCGAACTCACAGAGATACACTTGGCTCTATCTCCCTGACTGAGTGCTGTGACTAAAGGTGTGTACCACCACTGCTTGACAGCACCAGTCATCTGTTAATGGGAGTGGCAAGGAGTTCTTCCCAAGGGAATGAAAGGAGACCCTTATGCAAATGCCTGATCCCAGGAATAGGACAGCTGGGGAGCAGACACTTAATGGCACTGCCATTTCGCCCCTCCTAACTTGCCCAAAGGGCAAGGTGCTGACACCTCAGTCTTTTCCTATGGTAACGCACCTTTCTGATTTCTCTGTATTTATTAATTAACTGCACTCTTGCCTTTAATGGGCTCAGGCTCCCTCAGGCTTTGCATCTGAATTGTAGGCATTTCATCCTTGCCATCCGGGTGCCTAGTAAACATTTTAACATTCCTGTCTTGGTGTCCTTAGGAGGGCACAGTGGAATTCTTGGTCCCCTGGTGTTACGATAAATCTTTCCACCAAAAGCCACCCAAGCCCTACTGCCTCGTGGGCAGTCTCCACCAGCCGCCTGCGTTCTGCTCGCCGAGTTAGGGCCCAAATTAATGCACAGAGACGTGTATTAGGTCCAATGCTGCTTGGCCAATTACTAGGATTTCTCATCTGTTAGCTCAGTCTTAATTATCATAAATCTATATATGTTATAAGACTTACCTTATCGGACACCTTCCATTGGCATCCCCCCCTTGCCGGTGGATCACATCACGCCACTGAAGGAAGCTCGGAGGGAAAAAAGGGACCACTTCCTACTTCTCCTTCCTTAAATATGAGTCTCCTTGCTCTGTCACTTCCTGGCGGGATCATCACTTCTCTACTACATTTCCCAGAATCCTCCTCGACTCCTAGTCCTGACTAACTTGCTGCCTCATTGTCCAAACAGTACTTTATCATCCAGTAAGACAAACACATACACAGAAGCACTTCCCTCATCACCCTGGTGTCAGGAATTTTGTTTTTACCCCAAAGAATTATTTTGTTTAGATAGGCTAGGCTACCATTATATACATTTTTATCCTCTACCAAAGCCCACATGAAATTTTGCAAAGGGAAAGAATTGATATTGAGAACCATTAGGAATGAAAGTAAAAAGGTGCTGGACAAGTGTTTTTCTGCAATGTTGAAATTCTGGAGTTTTTTCAAATGGCAATGGTCACCAAGTGGTCCATGCCACGTCCCTTCTACTATATACTTAATAAAGTGAAGAAATGAATGAATAAATAAATAAATGGATGGATGAATATATAAATAAATTCCAGTTTTTTATTGATGTTTAGTTTCATTGGAGCTAGATACTCCCTCAAATCTCCATCCCCACCCTGCCATGTCCCTAGCCACTTATTACTGGCTTCTGGCTGTGTACGTTTACATGCACCCTCATGGGTTACATGCATTCCACTGTTGCCTCATGAGCGAGTGCATATGTCTGCCTGTCTTGTCCATCTGTCTTGTGACAGATGGACAAGTATGTCTGTTGCCCTCAGAGGTCATGAGGAAGGTGTTGATTTCCTGGAACTGGAAGAACAGCAGCCAGTGCCCTTAACCTCCGAGCCATGTCTCCAATTCCAATTTCAGTGGGAATGTTGAGAATTCATGGTCCTGTGAGGTTGTTGTGTTGTGCCCAAATTCTGAACCCCCAAATCACTAAGAGACCAGATCTGATGCAAAAGCAAAAAGTCTTTAATACATTAACGGGTTAACTGTATTAACTCAGATCTTCCTCCATCAGACACAGTGGATGGAGCAAGAAGGGCCTGGAGCTACAGAGAAGCAGGGAATTTATTGGGGCAGAGCAAGGGAGTGTCTGGGGTCTGAAACAGTCTCAGGATTGGTGCACTTCTGAGCTTGGACAATTTATCCTGAATTGATTGGTCAGGAATGATTGCTATGCTCAGAGGCCCTCCCAGGGCAGTTGCTATGCTCTGCATTCCACTGTTGCCATAAAGCACACCCAGAGCTTGTAAAGCACATTCAGATCCTGTCAGCCATTTTCTGATTGGTTCCTTGCCACATGAAGAGTATCTGACCTCCTAGTCACTAGGAGGTCAGGCAAGGTCAGAAAGCTCAGCACATGTTGCTGAGTCAGAAGCCGACATCTTGCTAGGCCTTTTCTACAGCCTGCCATGGATGCTAAAGCAGGCAGCTGGGTGAGGGTCTGGTCCTTTCAGTTGTATTGTGACACATTTTTCAAACTCAGGGCAGCCAGCATTGACTGCCTGCCAACTAACTGAAAACAACAACAACAAAAATAATACATCAGACCCAGGTCTTTGGGAGTGGTAATGGAGTAGAAAACACTCTCACAGAAAGAGGACTCTACTCATCCAGCCTCCTGCCAGCTTAAAGGGTTCAAGACCTTGTCTGGATATACATATTTATATAACTGTTTTAGGACAAGTTTTCTTCCTTCCTTTTTCTGGGACTGATCTAAAAAGTGGACTGTTTTGGGATGTAAGCTTAAAGAACCTCTAGCACATATGCAGAGGGGAGTAAGTAGGAAGGGTCAAATATTAGCCTAAACAATATAAACCAGTTGATCAGCTGCTCTGCCTTAGGCTCTCCATAATGTCATTGTTATGGTGGAAGCCTCACCCTAGCCCCTGGCATCCATATACCCAGAGTCTGGGATGTAATGGTAGAAATTCCACTCAAGCTCCCCTCCCCTATCTTCCTCCAAACCCTGCTGCATCTCAGAAAGCCCCCAAAATGATGACCCCCCTCCCCCAGAGATGCTCAAGACCACTCCCACAGGGTATTTAAACTGTCCTACAGAAAATAGACTTGTGGTTTTTCCAGTCTCTTTCATGTCTCCTCTCTGGGGGGCTGGAAGGCCACCGGGGAGCACTGTATCCATTAAATGTGGGCTTTTTCTAATTCAGTTTGATTTGGTCTAATTTAGATTAGTGCATTGGCAGAGAGGCTTATTCGGGTACAGAAATGTTTCACTCATGTTTATTTATCTGGCTGTAAATTCACACTAAGTATATATTTTTCCCATATGTTACATCCAAAACTAGTATTTGTGATTTTTTTTTTTTTTTACTTAAAGGGTACTCTAGGGGGGCTGGAGAGATGGCTCAGAGGTTAAGAGCACTGACTGCTCTTCCAGGGGTCCTGAGTTCAATTCCCAGCAACCACATGGTGGCTCACAACCATCTGTAATGAGATCTGGTGACCTCTTCTGGCCTGCAGGTATACATGCAGACAGAACACTATATACATAATAAATAAATAAATCTTTTTTAAAAAAAGGGGGGGGTACTCTAGGTTTGAATCCCTGTCATCTAGTAAGCACAGAGAACAAAAAAGACATTGAAAAGAGCTCAGGGGGTGCTGGATCAAAGGTTTAGAACTCAAGCAAAAGATAATATTAAGAAAAAACAAAATGAAATAGACCATCTCAGAGGCCTGGTATTTCCTCCTTGGTCTAATTTTAAAAATTGAAAGATACTATGATCATTAGAGGGTTTAGTGGGAATACGGGTTATTACACTGGTGCTGCATTCAGGTTTATCTTGTTTCTCTGTGGCTTTGGAGGCTGTCCTGGAACGAGCTCTTGTAGACCAGGTTGGTCTCGAACTCATAGAGATCCACCTTCCTTTGCCTCCCGAGTGCTGGGATTAAAGGCGTGCGCCACCAACGCCCGGCCATTCTGGTTTATCTTCCTTGAGGTTAGACATGGTTGCTTCCATCTTGGTAAGCCAGTCACACCCTTACTGAAGAATTTTCAGCTGTGACCTAGAAAGTTAGAAAGTGTCTGGAGCATAACTTTATACGTAACTCTCTGTTTCTGTTTCTATTTCTGTTTCTGTCTCTGTCTCTGTCTCTCTCTGTCTCTCTGTCTCTCTGTCTCTGTCTCTCATTATGCCAGCTCCACAAGACCCCAGAGAGACCACCACTCAGAGCCGACACTCCCAAATGCAATCACAAGGTTTCTTTATTCAAGCCTAGGCAGGCACCTCGTCTCACAGACTGACACAGCAGCTGCAGGAGAAAGGCCCTGAGCCTCACAAGCAAGGAGTTTTTAAAGACAAAGGCCATGGGATAGGGTGAGGTTATGGGTTTAAAGCTGATTGGCTGGGATGTCTAGAGGAATTTGGGGAGTTTGGAAAGTTTCTATAGATTTATCTCTGGTGTCACATGTGCCCACTGAAAGGTTCAGGCATTATGCTGGCCTGCCCCTGTTACCTGTTGGAATCCACTCAGGCAATACCCTGGTCAGCCCAAGGTTCCATGGGAAAGAAGTCTGCAGCAGGTGCAGAAGACCTTTTCAAAAGATAGGCCCCTGCCCCCTTACGCTCTCTGTTTCTCTGTTTCCTCTTTCCTCTCGGTTTCTTTTCTCTGTCCCCTCTCTCTGTTCCCCCGCTCTACTCTCCCACCTATGTTCCCCGCTCTGTCTCTCTATGGCGACAGGCCATGGCGGTCAGCCATTTACCCCTGTGCCTCCTCTTAGTCTCCCCATTCTACTGGGCCTTATAATAAACTTATAGTCAATATGTCTGTCTCAGCAATTTCTCTTTTCTTCTTTTTAAACAAAAGAATAACACCCACAAAGTTTGTTTCTGTAACTCTGTTAGTTGGCTGTATAGCTGTTTTAGAATTAACATGACTTCCCAAGTAGAAATCACTCCACACACTTAAGAGATTAATAAAGACAAATCTTTTTAATGATAGCATGCATCCATCTCTGGCTCTTACTCAGAGAGGAGCCAGCCTAGGTCAGATTTTGCATTGTACATATGCTATCATCCTTGTGTCTTTTAGGTTTAGGCTCCAGGTAACACTGAACAATTTAGGTGGGGACAGAAGACTGCAAGACAGATGGACACAGCAAATATATTCCCAGAATTATTTCTTAAGTATGCC